TAGTTGTCTGCATTGCCCAGAACCTTCACAGAATCACTAAGGTTGGAAAAGACCTGTAAGATCATCTAGCCCAGACTTAGAAGGGCCTCGTAAATGCTGGGGGGTGGGAATCAGTTTCTGCTTAGAAGTATAAAAAATAGAGGAATAACCCCACATTTCTAATGGAACGTGTTGTTTTTTTTTTTTTTTTCCCCCCCCCAGGCACAAAACAGATTTAAAGTTCCTTTGGGTACAAAATTCTACAGGGTGAAAGCAGTACCATGGAACAAGAAAGTATAACAAGAAAATTTTATTTCATACTGTCTCCATTCTTTTTTGACTTGTCCTTCAGTGCTCATTCATCGCTCCAAATAGCAGGCCATGTTTTTATACTGAGGTTATGTGACAAGATATGTCATTGATGTACTGCTTTTACTTTTTAACAGGTCACATTTTAGAAACAAGAATTTCATCAAAAACTCTGGCCCTAACTTCCAATTTTTTTACCCAGATAACTTTAGGAGTGTGGACCAAATGAGTTCATTTTCTCAAAGGGCAACCACATGAAACATGGTTTGTTGGCCATGTTAATTGCCTGTTAAATATACATTAGCTTGTATTTAGATGTTAAATGTTAGTTACCATTATTACCAGCATACGTCCTTTTGTGAAATCATTATCAAAGTACTTGCACTCTTTAACAGATTCTTTATATGTGTAAAATTCATCAACTATTTAAAGAGGAGTGTTCATTGCATGCAGATAATCATATAATTTTTCTTCAACATGAGTTTGCCTCAGTAGATGAATAAAAATAACTACTGCAACTTGTTTCATTACATGAAAATGCTCTTTAATGTTAAAAAAACCTTGTCATTTGATGGACTGATTTTGAAAATCAGTCACAGTTAGATCTGCAATCTTCAAAAGCACTTTCGATGGATTGATCACACAGATTCTGAAGGGAGGACACCTGCACCATTTGTTCCAAGTGAAGCACTTGTTCTTCCCAGCAAAACAGAAATCTTGTATTAATCTATTTAGAGAAATCATATTGATGAAATTGTATTTCATGGTTGAGTTTCAGGAAAAAACTCATTGTACATTAACCATACAAGAGTCATTTAAGTAACAAACTATTGTAATTGTAAAAGATATGTAGAATTTTAAAACAATAAAGATTTGAAACTGTATGTGTTTGAAGTATTTGTGTGCCTTTTAAATACTATCAATAATATTTATTTCCAGCAAATCTATTGCAGATTCTCTGATTCCTCCAGCAGTCTCATTATATAAAAATACCTTAATTTTCTGCAAGAGGCAGTAATATTAACAACATTCAGGATTTAAAAGGATTACCTTGTAACAATAAAAAAGAATTTAGACAAATTAATTTTGTCAGCAAATCAAACTGATGAGATTTTTTCGAAATAGTTATGCTGGCTACATCTTAAAAAATGTAATCTAATTTATTTTATTTTTTTAAAAAGATGTGCTATAAATGTGTAGCCGATGGAAAGTAAAATTCTGCATTCAACTTTGAGCTTATGTTTAGGACTTAATCCGTAGAGCTATTCAACTGTGATTTATCTTCAGAAGGTGTGGAGTGGAGGAGGAAAAAAGATAAAGAAATGATCACATGAAAATGTCAGTACTTCTGCCCATATGTTGCAAATAATATTCCTCCAGACTAACCAGTCCACTTGAATACTCAGAAACTCCTGTATATGCTTTATTTAAAATTTTGTTACATAATAATTTTAAGTTCAGGTTTTTTATTAAATGCATGGGCTTGTAACTGTATATCACACGTCTGAAATAAATTTGAGACAGTTGATGTCTGGAAAACAGAATGTCATTTTGTCAAGTTGCATTCTTATCTGATTGTTAGATTTGCTAGTTGATGTACTGACTTGTATAAAATTACTGAGTGCAAAAAATATCTGCCTCCTTCAAGAAAAATATTACCACTGTTGACTACTGCCCAGTGCCAAATATGTAATGTGGAAAAAATATGTGGAATAGGTTTAAAGCAAAAAAAACTATAATGCAGTTTTTTTTTTTAACTGAATTTCTAACCTTCATCTAACTGGGAATTCAGTTCCGCCTGCAGCTTGGATGCAGTCTTGTTCCTTAGTCAACTGAGTCACAACCGGTTTAAAAAGGTGCACACGTAGCACAATTGATTTTCTAGTGTGCTGAGTGTTTCGAAGCCTCTGTCTCTTACCCTGCTGACAGAACTTTCCCAGCCTCTCCCTACTGCTTGAATATTATTTGTACTTCAGGGACTAGTTGTCTCCCAGAAGCCACCAGGCCTAGCTAAGAGGCACAGAGGCCTTCCATTTCTGGGAGGACGCTGACTCCTTGAGTGGCAGCGATGGATCTGTGTGGCAGCGTGCAATCCAGTACGGCAAGGTAAGAGCCCACTCTTCTGCTGTTGATTAACCTACTTCAAACAGAAATATCAGGTCCCCCAGTTTTTTTTTTTTCCACAGAGGAGAGGATGTGTGTTTGTCAAGTTTCTCCGACTTGGATAAAACTGCAGATTTGATGATGGCCCTACAGGACAGGGCACCTATGAGCAGCACTCCTTTTTGGGCATACCAAAATTAGTGGTTTTTTTGACAATCTGATCTAATTAAGCACTAAGGCCTCTGCGTCTTGCTACGCTGTGGAAGACATACCATGACGTTCGTTGCAGGCTCCGGGATGGTTGTCCCTATTGTGGAAGTGAGGTGAGTACAGAACTGTGTGCTGAGAATTAAAATTACACCCCTCCCTCCACACAGAGAAATTCTTTCATCTTGCTTTTGAAAAAATATGAGTGCTCTAGTCTGTTTGCCCAGATTAAAAAATATATATAAACTCATATATGGACAGTAGCAGTGATGACTTAGGATGATATGAAAATTAGCTTGATTTGTTGGTTACGTTACGATGGACCCACGCACAACTGGTGTTTATGTAACTCAAACACATGAGCAACATACCAAAGTGAACTTGAGAAGCGCCTAAATAAATTGACTAAAGTAGTGTAATGCAAAATATTACATCTTAGAGGGGAAAGTCCTTCCCTGCTGATTTCTGCCACCTAAAAGAATACCAGGATGTATCTGTTACTGTCCCATGACATAATTTTAAAACTATAAATAATCAGCCATAGCTTTGTTTTTCAGGAATATTTGTCATGTGTTTCACTTTATAATCTTGATGTATATTCAGAATGGAAATTCTGTCAAACTCCTAACATAATTCAGTAATGATTCTGAACAGTTGTTGAAAAAAACGCAGTTTACATATTTTTTGTATGTCACAGCCTTACTAGCTCTTGAAACTATGCTTGTTATGCACCATCTATGTGTTTCATCTTGCTTCATAATAAAACCTCATATATAGCTATATAATTTGGATGAGGTGCATAGTCACAGGACATGTGGGGAAATTTGGCAGATGAAGTCAATGATCTGAGATTTCTCTAATTGTTTTGTGCAGCTGCATGTTGAAAACTTGGTAAAAAAAATCCTCTTGTGCTACTGCTAATATATGTTTATTCCATAACTCTGGCTTTAGATGAAGGCAACTACATCTCTGAAGTGCAAAAAAGAACGTGAATGGTAGAGAAAGTTGATTGAAAGCAAATGTTATCGTGCAGACTTAACACAAAAAGGATGTGATAATTTAAAAGGGATGTTTCTTCCAGTGTCCGTGGAAGGCTATATCCCATTTGAATGCTATGTGGAGCACATGCTTTTTTGCACTGCTCTGCAGTAGTTCTCGAGTCAGGAGCTTGTGCTGTTCAGAATTCAGTTGTGGTTCGTTTGAATCATAAGATGGTCTGCGAATAGGACTTGTTTGCACTTAAGCATATGCTTTCCCCTAAATATAGCTGTCACTACATACGTTGCATAGCAGGACTAAAAAGTCTGCCCTCTGCTCTGGAAAATATTCTCTGCCTTTTTGCAGCACTAGTTTTTGCCATGACCTAATACTGCGTCCTTTCTTGTTTTCAGGAGTTTTAGCTAGAAGCCAGTTTGCCTATAAACAGTTATAGCAAAAATTGAATAGTGCTTTGTAGCTTATATTCATTCCTGTATTTTCTTCGTTAATAAATTGTAACGCAGGGAATTATTTCCTAGTGCCAAATTAATAATTCTAGAAATGGAGCACTCGCCGTACAAGACCTGCTGACTTTTTAAGCTGCATTTGCATATTAAACTTCAGTGAGCTATTGCAGTGCTGGCATTTTAATGTCACGGATGTCTTTACATCACTTTACAAGTCATTCTGCAGTCCTAAAGCAGTGAAAAATGATAAAGGGTTAGGAGTTACTTCCTTTAGCATCCAATGCTTGCTCTGCATGGGAAAGCCTAGTCGCCAGACTCCAAATACTGGCTAAGAATTGAGCTCAGTGGTGACACACTCATGCAGTGTCAGACTCAGAATGGTTGAGGTTGGATGGGATCTCCCAAGGTTTTCATCTCCAACTCTCTGCTCAGGCTGAATTGCCATGGATTTTTCAATTTGTAAACTTGAGTTTACAACTAATTGGGCAAATTTAGTTCAATTTAATCCATTGTGTTGAAGCCTAGGTTGAAACTGACGGTATAATTTTGAGAAATTTCAAATTTTTGCATTAAAAAAAATGATTAAGTTAGCTAAATGCTAGTTTTTCACATGCTTTAACTATAATTTACTTTTTAATTTTAAATTCAAGAAATGTCACAGCTGACACATTATTATTTCTATGGCTACTCCCAGAAAATGCACCAGATTTTTGTTCTGTATATTTCGTTTCATACATGTAGTAGAATGCTTAAGGCCATGAATTTACAGTATATTACTGCACTGCTGAATAGTTGCTCCATGTTTTTGTCTGAATTCTATGATACTGTTGGTGGCAGACTTGCTTTTCTTTCTCTAACCTTTGCTTGTTGGACTTAAATTTCCCTTTGCCTGTTTGTCTTTGGACCTTTATAACAGATGGTGTTCAGTGTATTTCACTTTTTAGGCAAAATTACTGAGTAAGGAATAATTTTTTTTTTTCTGCTGTGGGAGGAACATTGCTAGTGTCTTATCTCCTAATCCAAAATCTGTATTGTTTGCCAAAGGGTGTTAATGGAGAACCTTTGTCATCACATTGACATACATTAATAAATCTTGTTTCAGATCTCTACATGAGATCTACCTATTCTAAACACATGGTTGTATACGTGTGTATGCATGTTTAACAAATGCTGATACTTGCAGCCATAGCTGCTGTGGTTTGGTCCTGTTTGCCTGTGCTGGGGGTATTAGAGAAAAAAACAAAGTAATACCTCAATTTTTTAAAGTTTTTGGTGAAGATTAGCTCCAAGACTAGGACTGTGTGTTTGTATAACCAAAGCATTTCTGCTCTAATTTAATATGAGTTTACTCCTTCTATAGTCATTGTAGGAAAAATGTCAATAAAGAACAAATCAAATAGCCTAAAGATCTGCTTAAGGAGAAGCTGTCAGTTTTAAGTAATTTTGCATCTCTGAGCCTGTATTAATTCAAGCGATTGGAATGTTAGCACTTCATGTCTAATGTGATTGCAGTGTTAATCAGGAGACTGCTCAGCTATGTCTCGCAGGCTGCTGGTCAGCATTGGTTGACTATCAGGTCTCTGGTGAACAGTAGGGTGTTTTTTTAGCACAATGGTTGAATTAGTGGAAAAAGCTTATGATGAATACTCAACTTACCAAAGAAGTCCTTGATAATGTTGTAGAAAACTGATCAATTTTTAAACTTCAGAAGAGAGCCTTATTTTGTACAACTACTTTATACACAGAAAAAAGGTATTTAGTTTCAATTGAAACCAACTGCCTAAACTCAATAGTCTACTTTTAA